CATTGTCTAGGCTGTACATGAGGAATTGTCTGCGAACGGGAATTTCCGTGGAAATTCCTGATGATACGCACCTCATCGGAATCAGAATCAATTTGGAGAACAGTGAAATGGTGAAATCCTTGGCTTTTCCCACACGGTATCAACTAAGCCACGATGGAGACCACCGTCACCAAAGCATCGATATAGTTCATGCACACCTTGGGTGCTTGGGCGCACGCAGGGCGCAGTTTGACCGGACCTCTGGTGTTGGAGAGAGTGAAATGAGCGGATGGCCGGCTGACAACTGGCCGTTCTCAGAATGTCATGTGTGTTTTTGTGTGTGTGTGAGAGACATCCTTGGGATGGTAGAGAAATTGAAGTCCCAATGAAATGAGAATTCCCGGCCCCGGCCCTTCATTTCATGAACATTTGGAACTTCCAATTTCCACCATCCTGCTCTCACATGCGCTGGGCTACAAGGTTTTCAGCGGCTTCTGGCATAAATATGTACATAGGTATGCAGCGCATGTATGCGCATATACGGTGTATTTATATATATATATATTTATTTATTTAAAAAACTATAATTATATATATATATTCTATATTCATATAGGGAGATGTCTGGGGCACTGTCTAGGGCATTGGTGACTTGTCTCGTTGCCCCACTTCTTTTGGACTTGTCTCGTTCGGATGGAGGCCGGTCACCGGACCCATTCGGCTCCCAACAGCGGCGTCCTACCATGTCCTAGCATGGTCCTACCCCTTTTGGTGCCCGGGCATCCGTAGGCGTTTGCCCTCGTTTGAGACATAAGACATGAGTTAGACAAATTTGTATACATATATATATATATAAAGGAGCTTGTATTAAAAAAACATACAGGAGCTTGATATATATATATATGTATATATAAACATGAGTTAGAAAGATATAGAAAGGAAGCTTCTCAGAGCAGGAGCTTGAGCATCTTGTTTTCTGGGTGAAATCAGATGCCCCGGCTCGGATCGAGGCTTGTTGACTGTCGACGACCGGGTTGAGGGTTTAGGCTTGTTGAGCCTATCATTGGTTCGGGCGCGCCTGCCAACGGCCTGCCAATGCCGCAAAGGTTCCATCCAAAATTTCCGGCCCAAGACCACAATGCGCAGGAGCACATCCATGGTGAAGAACCCAGTAAAGACATAATCACCAATCCTGAGCATTGCTTTTTATGCTGTTTGTTATGTTTTTAACGTTGCTGCTGTTTTTATGGCTCTGATGCTGTCCAACCAGGGCTCCAATCATCAGCCAAAAGAACACATAAAAGCATCGGTCGCCGAACATGCCTCATGTGTCTCAGAAGCTGGGACTTAGAGGGTCTCAACAACACCTTTCTGATTGCTGGCCCCAATGCCTCCCCAAAATTATGTGACACTACGACTCACTGACATGGAAGTGGAGTGCATCGTCCTTTAACAGGGTATGAATTCCACTACCATGTGATGTGATGTAACCCTGGGAGTGTGAACATTCACGTTCTTTGCAGACTTCCGGCCGGCCATGGCCATGCGCGTGGACCCCGAAAAAATGCTTTTCGGAATGTCCACCACCCGCGCCGCACTGGTGGCGTCGCTGAAGCACCGCATTGGTGGCGCACCACACCGAGGGGCTGGAAGAAGCGCTGGGTCGAGTCGCGGTACTCCAGATCGATGATGGAGGTGCTCTGAACTCCGACCAGGACGCCCTGAAAGGAGCCGGTGATCTGCAGCCTAAGACGGATGCGAGGCGGAAACATGACAAGACACCGCGCAGATCTCAAGGGGGCGACTCATGGAAGTCGGAGGATGCTGGTGATTCTGGGAATGGTTGAAGTATGTTGAAGCATATTGAAAAACTTGACACATCTACAATGGGATTCTATCCCAATCTCGGGGGTTCTATTTCATTCCACCATAGAAAAGGAGAGAAGAGACGAGAGCAAGAACTAACTTGTATGGAGCATATCAAGCGGTCATCGATGTCGATCTTCGAGGCTGCCCCGTTGAGACGTGCAACTCTGCAGCCATCCAAATGACGTTGAGGCCAAGCAGGATGGTAATGACCTCAGCTGCTGAGTATGCCAAGCTTGCAATGAAACGATCCCGGGCAGTCCTGCTTGGTCTTGAAAAACGCTGCGAAGTCACAAGCCTGCACCCAACACGTGCATCCCGCCTCTTAAACCCACCCCTTTCAGACCAGACACGCCATCAAAACGATGAGATTGCAACCATGCTTGAAACCTTTCAAATCTGGGCATGTCAGGAAGATACCTCGGAGTCGTGCAGGTCGTGCGGGTCAAGCGAAACATCTCTCCCTCTCTGAGGGTAGATGCCATATGTATGTCATCATGATGGGAGATTCGAGATAGCACCCTTTCAGCAATAACTAGTAACTCCTCGCCGCTCGCCAGTCACGTCCCAAGGCTCCTCTGAAAAACGGGTTCCAAAGCTACTCAATAATTGCACCCCTTATCACACAACAGCACCTCTATCACCCACTTAGCATGTAATCAAGTATTATATATTATTATATAATATTATATATTCCCGAGCCCGCGCAACCACTCTCTGCATACTTACGGCCTTACGGGATGATTGAGATCTTGACTTGATTCAAATCACCGAGGTGCGAATGGTGTATCTTTTTGACTTCATCCATGTGCGCGAAGGTCGCATAAAACCAACGATCCTGTGAAGGTTTCCTGGTTTCCTTTCAGCTTGCCAAAAGGGTGGGCTTCCCAAAAACATGGGCCAGCATCATTTGACTGGTTGGGGGCTTCAACTGACTTGAAATATGTTTTTAGCGGGTTCAATCGTTCAATCATCCCAACTAAAGGTTGAAACGAAACTATGTTTGAAACCACCACCTGGTTGAATGACTCTTCAGCCAGCCAACGGGACTCAAGCACTCAAGCACCATGCACCCAGCTCTCGGAACATGGGCATCTTGTCCAAAAGACTCCGCCCGCCACTCACCCACCGACCATCTCATGGGGGTTCGGGTGGCAACCGCTCGGAAGGCTCATCCTCCAATCTATGCACCTTGGCCGCCAGGCCTTAGACGTCCCAAGCGATGCACACCGCAGGTTACCCTGCATACGTTGGGCGTAGGGGTGTAGGGCCAAGATCAATGTCTTGGCTAAAGAACCAGGCCGGTCGAAGTTTTTCCGTCTGTGAAGTCGGGGTTGCTGTAAATCGGAAATGACAGCTTCTTAAATGAAGTTGCTTAAGAGCTGAAACGTCTAGAAGTCGGGACCGGCCATGTACGGCCTGTGAAAAGTATTGCACTGTGCAGTTGTTGCTCGACCTAGCCGGTCAAGAACACCAAGCAGTGGGAATTTCAATAGCAGTTGCCAACTGGTGAAGTACCAGGGCACCAGTCTAGTTTGAAGACTTTGGCGCGCTATAACATGATCACACTAGATAGGAGGATCCCTGTGACTCGAGCCCCGCACTCCCCGCACCAGTGTTTGGAAGCATGTTGGCCATAGGTTTGCATTTTTTTGGATCCTGGTGATCATGTGTGGCTATATTCAAAGCAGGCCCGTATCAAACTTGGCAAGTGGACTGCAACATGTACTCTTAGCGTACAACAACAACAACAACAACAACAACAACAACAACAACAAGAACAAGAAGAGCCATAGCCATAGCCACAGCCCCAGCCACAACCACAACCACCGACAATTTTGGGAGATCTGACATGTTTCATCTTACATTCTCCTGCGCAAAATCCGCTCGATCTATCTATCTATATCATAAATATGCAAACCTCAAATTCAGAAAACAAATATAGGGTTCTACTGTTCTACATGCTGGACCTGTGTGGTTCGTTTCGCCCATAAAGGCACACGACAACGTTCAAATTCCAAAAGGGCATCGCAGGTCCTTGAGCCACAGCGTGATTTGATGGTCACACACTGCGGTTCTTGAGGCCTAAGTAGTGGTTTCCGATGTTTTCGGTGGTTTCTGGTGATGAATGGGTGCTATTGACTTGGCAGCCCCTCACCCTCAGAAACAAATCTGAAAACTCCCAGTCACTCCCAGTGGCTCTTTTCAAATTGCTCCACCGTGGCATCTCGGGCTTGAAAGAACTGCTCCACTGTTACGTGGTGGTCCTCAGCAAGATGCTGTGGGATGGTTCTATAGCATAATTAGGCATAAAGTTGATGACATTTCATATTGGGATGAGGTATGTTTAGAAGTCTTTGGGTCTATCCAACCTTTTCGCATGCTTCAGGGTCAACGGGTGACTGGGGTGCAAAGGAAAACCAAGTTCAAATAGCAACCGGAGGAATCCGAGCCGATTCTGTGGTAGGAATCCACCCCTCCTCACAGCATTGGGATTGGTCATTCACCGACACCATTCCTGGGAACATGTTGTCGAAGACCTGATCGCGAAGCAACAAACAAGTTAGCTCAGTTAGCTCAGTTTAACAAGTTTCACTAGTCGATGAGCACGACAATATACAGACTCTTGGGGAACCTTCCCTTCAAGTATGTAGACCATGCAGTTGACCGTTTACGCTACAGAGTCGTCTGAACCAAACAGTTTATACATCAACCCTTTTGCATCATGTTGCCCCCCCGAGAAGGAACAAAACACGGTTTATCACTGGCCCATCAGAAGGCAATGTATGTTCTCCTTTGAGATCTTTGAGCCTGGACGGAAAACGGCAAACGGTGCTACTGGAATCTATTTACTTAATCTTCTTTAGCCAGTTCGCATTTAATGGACGTGGGATCTAATTTACAGTATACTTAGTGACTTAATCTTCCTTAGCCAGTTCGCAACTAATAGATCTGGAATCTATCTACTTCCTTAGCCAGTTTGCAACTAATAGACCTGCAATCTATTTACTTAATCTGTTTTGGCCAGTTCGTAACTAATAGCTCTGGAATCTATTTAATCTACTTACTTAATCTTCTTTAGCCAGTTCTTTGGACCTGCATTCGTGATGACTTGATCCAAAAGCACCGGACACCGGACGACCGGCTACCAAAGCCATGCGATGGAAGGTGAACCGGGCGGCCAGCACCTCTTCGGAACGGCCCGCACCATGCAGGGCCGGTCCGGTCCCAGGCATGGCGTCCTGTATTGCAGGCCACAACATCACCGCTCCAACAACCTGGTGAAAAAAACATGGGCCTTTTAATGACATCCAGTATCCAACGATTCCCCCGCCAAAATATACAGCATAGGCCGTGTCCAAGGCCATCTCGGCCATCGGTGTCCAAGGCGCTTGGATCTGCTCCAAGATGTTGGATGCCTCTAGGGTGCGGTTGCGCACGCGGCGAGCTTCCAAGCAGCCTGGCTCAACCGGCCGCACGTCGGCGCGACGAGGTCCCAGGAGTCGGAACGTCGGGAGTCGGGGTCGGAAGTGGTCAACTTCTTTGAGAACCAGTGCGCCAGTCATGGGAAGGGTGCCAGTCATGAAGACCAAACCATTTTTTAAGAAGTGGTCAACTCCAACCAATTTTTGTTCTTCCCCTTGCACGTGCGTTACGGAGATAGGGGATCGATGTCAATTGTTCGGATTGTGAGTCTAGAAATCATCGTTTTTGAGACAGGCTGATCACGAGAAACCTTTCCCCGTGGGATGCTTGAGGTCAGGTCTTTTGGTAATCGTCGCATGGAGGCTTCCTGCGCAAACGGGTCCCAAGCCACAAAGCCATGACTCCTGTTGAAGGGGTTTCTTCAGGCTTCTCAAAGGCCAGGGGCCCTGGGATGCTTTGTGGAACTTGGAGAGCCCAGTTTGGGTTGATGTCCATCCTTGGACAAGGAACACTTCCACCACCCGTGCACAAAGGAAAATACAAACTATAAAGTGACAACACCAGGAGTCAGAAAGGGGTGCCAAACTTGGAGGATAGTGGTGCCCATTATCCACTCACTTAGGGCCTCTACGTGACTCCGATCCGCAGGAAACCACTCCACAAGGACCGATCCGCTCCATAAGCCCTACATATTGGGTGAGTTGGTGGTGTGGGCTGCTAGCTGACATCTGGGTGTCTCCAACTAGGAATCCTGTACTGTTGACGGTTGACTTAGAAAAGAAGCCCCGTAAGATCCATAAGTACATAACAAATCATAAAAGTGTTTATGCAAGAAAAAATGTCACAAGGTTTGGTGGCGCACTGATCCAAGCACCAATGTTTGTCCAACCACTCCGAGCAGCGCATCTTGAACTTGTTCGCGAGCGTCATGGATTGTGAGCCCTGGCAATGCTTTGCTCTTGCGAAGGCGCGCAGCTGATGATCAAGCAAACAAAATAGCTGATCATCTGCAAACACTATCCAAACGGATGGTATAGTCTAGCTATTGGTGCTTATTGGGTGGTAAACCAAATGAGATGGGGTGTCTCTATGACGACCTCTTTTAAATGACAAATTTCTCCAACACGTGGAAGAACACGTGGCCTGTGAAGGTATATAGCACTCTCCTCTAGCTAGCACCGGGCGAATGTGTGAGTTGCTTTGGGGGCTGGTTAAATCAACTGAGCGCCTAATTCCGGCCATGGAATGAGGCTGCACTCCAATCAAACAACGATCGGACGAAAGTGCAGAACTCGGCTAAAATACCGAGGGGTGACAAAGGCACCTGAAGGTGAGGAGTATTTGGTGGAGAAACTTCATCAGCACCGCCACCGCCCGACAAAAAAAGGCTTCATGTAGCAGACCCGCGAGTGCCAGGCCACGTGGCAAAAACCTCGTGCCAAGCCACGTTCGATAACACAGACCGCTGAGTGCCCATCTGGCGCACAGATCCAGCGCAAGACTTGTCCAAAGAGGTTCCTGCGGCGGACGCTGAAGTACAAAAAATGTCCCCGTGACGAGTCCCCAATACATGCACGCAGGTATATATATATATAGTTTAATGGGTTTGCATACGGAAGGGCATTACGTGCCCACTACTCAGGGGAGTGCAAGGGTGTTTTTGAACCGTTGCCTCACTAACTAATATACTAAGTCCATACTCAGTACATATCCACCCATAGCTGAAGCCTTTCTTGGTTTGAACATCATATCCTCTCACCATCCATCGCCTAGTCGTCACCGGACGTCACTCCCCTAGCGATCAGTCGACCGTAAAGGATCGATTCTGGAGACACATGTGAGATCCCACAAGTGAACCCGATGACGCCTTAAAGACCTTAGAACCAACAGCTGTCTGTAAAACCATGTAACTCACCCAGACTCACCCCAGGGGATTCTCAATGGTTTGTTTGGCTTAGCGCCTTTCAGCTCACCAGTCACCCCAAACATTGCTCCAACATGCCTCCTCTCTCCACTTCCGGTGTTTGACTCCCAACCCCCTTGGTTTCAGGGCCCCCTAATGCCCCAAGCAGCTGAGACCAACACTCGACCGCGTTAGCGGGGACAAGGGTCGAAGATCCGATGTCTCTGAGAAAAGAAACCACACACCGGGGACAGCCATCCCTGCGCCAGCCGCTGTGGGTGAGAACGAAACAATCTTGGAACACCCAGGGATGCCTTTGACATCCTTTGACCATATTTGGCATAACCCAGCTTTACTCCCAGCTTTGCTTGTAAAACCCGTTGAAATTGAGTCCAAGACCAAGACCTACCATGACCTACCCAGGTGTGTTGCTCTTAGTCGTCTTTAACAACCGAACGGTAGACGTCTGGCTCCGGGGATGCGACCGCTCCTGAGACGGACTGGATGGGGAGCCGTGCCTCAAACGGGGGCCCCGATCTCCGGCCAGGCTCAACCGCTCAAGTGGTGCTTCTCAGAACTTTTGCGGTGAAAGAGTACGTCCGGGACCAGTTTTTGAGGATGTGAAATGGAGGTGAGGTGACCGCGCTTGCTACTAGTAGAGCACTGTTTTCGTGACAAGGTGTCGAGGGTGTGTCAGGAGTCCGATGTCTTTGAAAAAGCCCTGTGCCGTCGTGCAACAATTAACAATTCAGGCTTTGGGACTATGGAGCAAACACTCGTGTAACATCTCTCCACACATGGCCAGTATAGATCCCAAGTACCGAAGCTGGCAACACGATGCCGTTTTTTGGAGCCCCACAGGCCACCAATGTTAAGACCCTACATCATTCGAAGTCCACACCAGCACAAGTGAAATCGGTGCCTCATCATCAGATGATCGTAGAATACGAAGTTCCCGTTGCAACTCCTGATGCAGGTGGAACAGGGATGAACAGGGCCCTCTCCGTACTTCCCCAATGAGCACTGCGTCATCAACGCACCTTCAAGTCGGTTTTTTGCTTCACAGCAACCCAATCTACAGCTGGATTTGCAGCATCGGGTCACTGGTGCTAGCATGATCAGAATGCAGCAGCTTTGGCATTGTAGTAGTCAAATACAGTTCAAAACATGATACTGACCATGCCTGAGACGAGGAGATTCATATCATGGTTATCTGGTTATCATATCCAGAATTCTGAACAACTTCGGCTCCTGCATGCGAAAATCCACTTCTGCCATCTCTCGCACATGCTGCTGAACGACCTGTTCCACAACCTGGGCCAGCGGATGCAGCAAAATGAGAAATGTTTGTTCACACAGGAGAGCATGCGGAAATGGAAGTTCCAACATGTCTAAACTCCATGAAGTTCATGGTGGGATTGGGCATGATTGGATGGATTCGCAGCAGCATTTGATTCCCACGTGCTGCTTGCGTGTCATTAGTGTGTGTTGTCCATCACCATCAGTAACGGTCATGGACAGCACATCGAACTGATCGTCTCCACCCAGCACAGCAGTGGAGACGGGGGCACATCTGCGACAGGAAAAAAGCTTCCAGAGCCACTTCCGAAGCCCAGGAAGTCCGTCGGTCCGTCTTTCGCCCAGTGGCTGCTTGAAAGGCCTCTGACTGCCCAAAGCCAGATGGCACCGGCATGCTCGCGGACCCGCGGCACCGCGAGCTGATCCGGCAAACGACGCAAAACAGAAAAAAAGCAAACACAAAGAGAGCGAATCCCAGTGCTGAACTGCATGAGCTGGAGGGAGGGCTGTTTAATTGGCCAATACACAGTAAGGAAGGAACTGCTCAGCTGTAGAACCTGTCTCTTGCATTGTAATAACTATCTAAAGCCACGGCAGGGATGGGCAAATTGAATTCTGGATGAACCATGCAATCACCATCTAAATGTTTCTTCCCAGCCCCATCTGAGAGCCGGAGGTGGCGGGCGCTTTTCGCAGGGCTGCAAGATGCATGATGCCTAGAATCGGGGTTGCTGGAATAAATAAGAACTCACGAATTATAAACCAGGAAGTTGCTGGTGGGCTGCCGATGTTGAATCTCTTTACGACAACGTCACCAATGAAAAACACACTTGTGCTCGCTGGGTCTGTATGAATTTGGTCAGAGGTGTTCAGTTTCAATCTGACACAGCTCTTTCTGCAGGCAGAACCCCTGCGGATCACTCAGTCACCGCGCTCCAACCTGAAATGAACGGAATACATGTCTGACCACACGCGTCCAATTGCACAAGGGCATACCTGGACCGTCCAAAATGTTCCAAACCTATTGTGGCCTTTGGGATGTTGATGTTGGTCACCCCTCTGCCATCTTGTGCTTGTCATACAATGGAGGTCCTGAAGTACCCAAGCAAGCTTCAGGTTGGGTTCATCTTGGTTGAACCCCGATGGCTGGCAGGTCGCGGAGCTTGGCAGGTCGCGGAGCTTGGCAGGTCGTGCCCAGTATATCGGCTGGCTGGAGCCGATCTCCTGACGAATGTGATATGGAAGTGACTGGAAGTGAAGGGCGACCATCATGGATGTTCCGAATGACGATGTTCCTGAATGACCTGGTGGGACACTCCAGGTCACCCTTGTGACGCCTTGCTCAGAGTCTAATATTCCAACACGCTTCTGTGGGTGAACAATGCCCACAACTGTTGGATTCTGGTGCAGTTTTAATATGCTTGCGTTGAACTGAAATGAAACACCTAACAATAATTACATATAATTAACTGGCCTCTGGATTGCATGCTGCTGCAAGGCAATCTCTTGATAGGCAGCACCGGACAGTCTGCGCAGAACATCATAGAACGATAGAATTGGAAAGGAAACCCCTGTGGAATGTTAGTTGAATTTTGATGGTCGGTTTGGGTGTTGTGAATGTAGTGTCATGAATGTAGTATGAAATCTTCCCAAATGGAAATACCCACAGAATCAGCGGTCCATGGCCAAACACCTACAAAACCATTACAAAACAATTTAATTACATTAACCTATGCATTCTTCAGCCGCGTGGCGGACCCGTGACCACCTCCGGGGCGCCTCGCCTTTGGCTCCGCAGGTCAGTCGAGTTCGACAGCTCCAAAGGTCACCAAAAGCTCACCTGAGCTGATTCTGGATTTGGATGGATTTTCGGGGGGGTGGAGCCAGATTCACAGGCTTGTGCTCCATTCCGATTGGTCAAGGTGTGAAACTGATTGGTCAAGGCCCCCTAACTAACGTCATGCCTGCAGACCCACCCAACACCAACATTCAGGAGACATGTGGTAAATGACCCCCGTGGAAATGACGGACCTAACATGGAATCTGAGAATTTTGACCGGTGGTTTCGACCCTTTTCCGAAGAGCAACCGGGGTCCTGTGGGTTTTGGGATGGTTTTATATGGTCCGAAGTCTGCAGGGGAGTATATAAGCAAATGGTGAAGTTGACTGGGTCGTGGTGAGGGTCCTGGTGAGGGTCCACAGGGTCAGATGAAAAAAGGTGCGCTGGTCATGTGAGATGTTGCTGGGCTCAGTCGGGGTGAGATCGGTCTACGCCCGCGCGTAGACCGAGCGTGAGTGAACCAATGACACCTTGGGGGCAAACGGCCAACGGGGCTTGCAGGAGGTCCAAAAAGCACGATGCATCGGTTCACCTAGTGAAAGAGAAAGGTACTAGCTCTGAGACCCACATGGAACCTGAGTACTCACTAAGTGGTAGAGGAAAATTGGATTCCTTGCAGGTGCATGGCAAGCCCGGTTCCATGTGGGTCTCTTCCAGGGCATAACTTTCCCTCACCACTTAGGTCGGGAGCGAGTGTCTCCATCAATGAGAACTCGCTCCCGCTAATCAGGGTTGGGTAGGGGCTGGGCAGCAATGTATGGAGTGAGTTTTGCACGTCATATCCCCTTTCAAGAAAGCTTTTGGAGTGTTTCAGCCGCAGTCAGCAGTCCACCCGGTCAAGGGTGGGTCGGTGCGTTGACTGACCCGGTTAGTGCTCACCACCAATGCTTCGCACCCGATGGGGTTTCACACTGGGCATGGGGGTGGAACAAGGTGCAGGCAAAAGTGAAGAACAGCCGCCACCGGCTCAACAGGCTCAACAAACTTCGAAACATCAATCCGCATCGCTTCACCTCCAAACGGTCCAGGCGTTTCACGCTGCGTGAACGTCCGTCCTCAAGGTCGGTGAAGGGACGACTCGGCGCCAGTCACACGAGGGCCGTGAGCGAGCCTGGTGGTGTGCGAACGGTAGGGGACCATGAAGGAAAACTCCCGTGGCGCATGAGCCCTCCCAAATGACCCAGTTCAGCAGGACAGTAGGAAAACTTGTTGAAGAGGCTTCGTGTCACACACTTGATCATGGCCTGCCAGTGCAGCATACTGCCATGCTGTGGCGCCTCACGAGCAAAGGAAACAACGGGCATGGAAGTTGCATGCAGTAGTTGTTCAGCGCCTCCAGCTATACAGCTAGCGACGCTTCCTGGAAGAAACATCCTTGAAGCTGGGATGTGCTACCCAAGAAGTCTTAACCCCATTGGATCGGTAGCGAGGCGAG